ACTGATGTGTATGAAGTTGTTGGTGGAAGATTAGTGACAATGATTTGAATTACAAATGGGTAACAACAAAGTCAGGACTATTATCTCAGGAAACATTCCTGTATTTCCTGGGAACCAAGGCTCAAATCTGTTCTAATAGACAGTTCTTAACTTTCCTGGGCATAACAGACCCCTGTTGTAATCTGATAAAAGCACTGAATGCTCTCCCCAGAAAAATCCATATATGCATGTTCACTCAAAACTTGTATACAGCTTTAAGGGATTCAGAGACTTCTACAGATCTCCTAGGGTGCCCTAAGTAGAATAACATACCCTATGTTGCACATTAAAGGAAATTAATTACCTAATATTAAAACTATATATTACATGAAAATGCTAAGACATAAATTTCAATTACAGACAGAAGTACAGCAGAGATGATGGTATACGATGCAGTGTTAATGACAGGGGTAAATGACAATCCAATATGGAAGAGCACAGTGATAGAATACTGAGCCAGGATGGGTAAATACAGAGGAACAGGGCACCTGATAAGGGAAAGAGTGCAAGAGGACCCAAATCTAACTCAACTATTTTATAACATTGTTAAGGACCAACCCTGATCTTATTGGTATATTTGAAAACCAACTAACAAATGAAATAAATTACTTAGCCATGCACCCATTTGGATCCATTGGGGATTTAGGATTTTGCCATGTAATTTTACCTCTTGCTTAAGCTTTGCTGAACTTTGTGATTTACTGTACATAGTATCCTTCTAGAACCAATGCTGCTTAAGCAATAGCAATATGAATTAATATTTTGACTTTTGCACGTGAATGGTCATAGTAATTGACTCTAAAAGATGGTCATATCTACTGCATAGTGTAGCTAGCATTAGCTTTCTGTGGCTCATCTGTCTACTATAAGCTTATTGATAACATGTTAAGATGATCAAACTGAGCAATATATTTGTAATGTAGTAAAATACATCACAAAATGGTATTTTTTAAACACTGAGATGTATGAAGAACTTTAAAACCCTATCTCAGCCTTCAAAAAGCTTCCATCTGGATGAAGAGGCAATAAACACACAAAAAATTAGGAAACAATGAGCATAGTGAAGTAAACATCTAAGACATTATCACAATAGATGCCAGTTGAAAGGGCCTAATCATAAGATTCATGCCTTGGAGTTGGTGTTCTTAATGCGACAATCTGTCCTGTTTGGACTTCTTGATAAGGGATTCTTATAGAAGAAAAGCACACTACAAACAGAAAAATGCACTAAAATTTAATGTCAATCAAATAAAATGTAATTGTGGTGTTGTGCTTTCAATATCTGCTTATTTTAGCTAAATGTATTTTTATTTGTGCATCCCGGGGTGGGGGGGAGGGGAGCAAACTAAAGGAGATTGACAATGTGGACTGATGAATCAGAACACATCCTTGAGCTCTGTTTATTTCCCCTCAGCTGCAGATATTGGCATCTACCTTCATGCCATGGGGGTTGGCTTCTTTAGTTTCAGAATCAGCACCCAGACCTGGCCTGTCAGGCCGGCCCTGTGTTCAGGCAGAGTAGACACCTGCCTGTGTAGTGGGGTCCAGAGGTCCCCATGCACCCCTGCCATGCTGTATCTCCCCCAGCACTCTTGCAGATAACTGAAATTCCGTTGTTTAAATCAATCCCTTTAATTTTGAAGATGGCTTTATTTTTAAAATCTCATTCCAAATTCAAATAGTACCGAAAACAACTTTGTGGAATCATTATAAAATTTAATGAATAATGAAAGAGGTGTGTGGAGGTTGGGAGAGTACATGGGGAATTATGATAAAAGGAGTAAAAACTAAGTGCTAAAAGGTGATAGGTGCCAGACCTCATTCCTTAGAAGTTCCCTAGAAGTGCTGATGCTATATTCTGTGCCTATAGTCCCAGAGGGCCATTTAGAAATGCCACTGACCCTCTAACAGGCCTGACCCAGTCTTCACTGAAGCCTTTGATCACAGGGGGAGTCATCCCATTCTCAGTGCTACAAACTAATAATGACAGAACAAAGCACCCTTTCTCAGTGGTTAGACTCCATACTGTACTTGTCCCAAGCAGGGCAATAGTGTCTTTATGAGAATTACTTGGGAAGTGATATTGCTTCTGTACTATTCCCTTTAATTAATATTAACCAGATACCCCATCAAATAAAGATACCTACAAAGAAATATAGAACCTTGAGATCAAAAGGAGGAACAAGCTAGTGCCATAGAAATTTCTCTCTCAAAATTTCTTCAAGAGTTTTTATCCTCCAGAAACAGTTGTTTAAGGTAAAAAGACAAAACAAAACAAAAAAACCTACTGTTGGAATATTAACAGCCATTGTCATTTTTAACTGTTTTTAAATAGCAGAAAATATGTACTATGCACTATTGTGGATTCTAAATTATGGCTAAAAGTTCTGTCAAGTCCACAATTAAATTTTGATAATAATAAAAACTCCAACAAGGAAGACAATGTGTTCAAGGGAATTCTGAAGTAATTAATGTACTCTATATCTTCCTTCAAGCTTAACTTAATAATGGATTTACATTATAGGGAGACAATGACCAGTCAGTGATACTATTACAAACATCATCATTTCTACCAAGCATGCATGTAAGCTGTTTGAGAAAGAGCTCTGAACGATGATTTAACCAACTGTAGCAAGCACTCCAAATTTAAGAAGTAATATCTTTCAGTTTGGGGAAGGAAAGAAGAAAGCTGCTACGTTCAGAATGTGTGTGTCATCCCAGAATTCATATGTTGAAACCTAACCCCAAAGGTATGGTATTAAGAGGTGGGGAAGTCATGACGGCCCAGACCCCCTGAATGGGATAAGTGCCCTGATAAAAGCAGTCAGAGAAATCATCCTTGTCCCTTCTGCCATGCGAGGTTTATAACAAAACGACAGCCCTGTATGAGGAAGCAAGCCCTCCCAAGAAATCAACTCTGCTGGCAAAATATCTTGGATTTCCCAGTGAAATAAATGTTTGTATTCCTTCAGCTAAATAAATGTTTGTGGTTTAGACGCCATCAGTTTATATTTTTGCTATAGTAGCCTTAACTAAGACAGGAGCTAAGTATTTAGTTCCTACTACAATACTTTCCAAATCAATGCAGCACATGTCTCAGAACACACCCACAAGGAAGAGTAAATTACCTATCTTAAAATGAGAAAATTATTGTTCAGAAAAGTTAGGTAACTCACTTATGGTCACATGCTAAATGGTAGGCAAAGCCACCCAGGTCTGAGCCGAACTTGGAGCCCTTTCTGCCACGTGACACTGCATTTTACAGGACAAGGGGTTTCAAAATCTTTTTGTTTGCCTACCTTTAGAAGTCTCCTTTATAAGAAATTGATTTTCCAACTTAAATTACATTTATTAAAATAAGAAAATGTGGTTAATCTTTAAGTTTTGTCAGATACCAAAGACCTTAGATATTGTTAAAATTGCAACCTAAGAGAAATCATTTGGTATAACTTTTGTCAGTGATTTTTCAAATAAATGTCAGGTCTGAGCAATATGGTCACATGACATATCTTCAGAATCACTCTGAGTTGTTTAACACTTATTATGTATGTTTGCTGGACAATTATCTGAATTTCTTATTTTTTAGTATATCTTTATCAAAATCTCCTTTGAACTGTAATTATGGCAGACCTTGAAGGTTATGTGAGCAAAATAACTAAATTCATGAAAACATGAATTTATTCAATTGCATGTGCACACACAGAAAGACAAATAAATAATAAGATTAAGATAAGCAAACTGCAATTGTGAAACATTTAAAAAGTATTCAAGCTTATGTATGTTCATTAGACTTTCTGGGCAGCTGAAGTTTAGTGGCTTGGGTAATAAGAGGAAATCTTGCCATTGGTAAAAATGGTAATATTTAAGAAAACTTTTGACACTGTGTAAAGAACTGTGACTTCTCTCTTCAGTTGGCATAACCCCATGTGTCAATGGACAGACACTAAAGCTAATTTGGGTGATGAAAAATACTGTAATAGCCATTGTGCTCTTTTGTTTTTTGAAATTCCTTTAAATGTGTCTTCTACCCATTAAATAAGCTGGATGTATTAGATTTGGAAGTGCTTGCCCATAATATTTTCCTTCTTAATCCAATGTTTGTAAAAGAATGATTTTAAAAAGTAAAGTTTAAAATTTTAAACTTTTTCTTAATGGTGCCTAATTTACTGAGATTTATCTATCATCTGTCAAATTCTTAAAAATAGCCATAAAATCATGTTGGTTCCGATTCTTAAGCATTTAAAAACACGTAGCCTGAAACGAGTTCCAAATTTATAAAAATGAAATTCACAAACAATTGTGAAAGTGTCAATGACATATGACAGACCTTTCTGGTTCAAAGCAAAATACTATAACACAAATTTCATGTCATTTTTAGTTTTGCTCATCACCACAAAAGCTACTTAATTCTAAAACATGTAAACAGGAAATGATAAATACCTAAACTTAACTGAATTTCATTTTTTAAAGTAGAGCTTTTCCAGGAAAGTAAAAGCAGGATGCAATTTTTCTAAACAATTATAAACTACACTGAAGCTTTTGTGCCTTGAATGTTATACTTCTTGAAACGTGAAACATCCATTTCTGAAGTGGGAAAAGTTTCCCAAACAGCTGCCTCTTAAATATTCTATATTCTAGTTCAAAAGAGTCATAAGTCAAAGCCCTTGACACATCAGTGGAGTAAAAGAGAGCTATCACAGTAAGACTGTGTTTCTAATTCTATCAGCGTTTCCCTAGTGTTCCTACTATAACCTATCTTCAACAGAGGAGTGTTGGAAAGTCTGATATGTTTTGATTGGTGAACTCTTTTGACTACCATCTGAATACTGAGTGGTTTTGGCCCTTGACACTTTCCAATACTTTACATGGTGTTTCCAGGTGAAACAGGAACATGTTGTTGGCACTCTGTGAGCTTAATGATTCCTAAGAACTTGCACGAAGTGAGCAAATGAGGTAGAAACATGGCATTACTGATTATACTGATGACCTGCTTTCTGATTTTTCTTGCTACTTCCCAGCCTTGCCAGACCCCTGATGACGTTGTGGCTGCCACTTTTCCAGGACATATCATAATTGGAGGTTTATTTGCCATTCATGAAACGATGCTGTCCTCAGAAGACTATCCCAGACGACCAGAAATCCAGAAGTGTGTTGGGTGAGTAAAGCCTTAAAGAACACAAGTATATTTCAAGATTATATAGTGAGACTAGGCATATGTTCACTTGTATTGACATCTAACTTGTTTCAATAATATTTAAACTCATATTTTTTAAGTTGCACATAGTCTTGCAATGCTTTCTTAAAAGAGAGAGAGATATCAGTGCTATGTTTATAACTAACCTCCAAGTGCAGAGGCAATGAATGGTTTTCATTAATATATTTACATGGATTTTGCCTAACAAAAAAAACCAAAAAAAATCCCTGGATGGGAGCAGTCTTATAAGTAATTCGCTGCCTTTCTCTTGCTACTTTTAGGATTCTGTCTTTGTCTTAAAACGTTGCTGTTTTAACTATGATGTGTCTTGGTGTGGGCCTGTTTGGGTTCATCTTGGTTGGAACTCTCTGCACTTCCTGGGCTTGTATATCGACTTTCTTCAACAGGGTAGGGAAGTTTCGGTCATTATTTCTTCAAATATGTTCTCAATCCCTTGCTCCCTCTCTTTTCCTTCTGGTATTCCTATGATGTGCATGTTGTGTTTGATGTTATCCCACAGGTCTCTTAAACTGTTTTCATTGTTTGTTTTATCATTTTTCCTTTTTGTTGTACTGATTGGGTGATCTCTGATATCTTGTCTTCTAATTTGCTGATTTAATCCTCTGCTTCATCTAATCTGCTGGTAACTCCTTCGAGTGTGTTCTTTATTTCAGTTATTGTATTCTTTACTTCTAACTGGTTGTTTTTTTGTGATTTCTGTATCCTTCTTTATGTCCTCACTAAGTTCCTTAAACATTCTTATCATCAGTATTCTAAACTCTGTCCCTGATAGGTTGGTTACCTCTATTTCATTTAGTTCCAATTCTGGAGGTTTCTCCTGTTCTTTTATTTAGGATGTGTTTCTTTGTTTCCCCATTCTGGCTTACTCTGTGTTTGCTTTGATGTATTAGGTAGATCCCCTAGGTCTCTCAGTCTTTGCTGGGTGGATTTATGTGGTATGTGTTCTTTATATTTGAATTACTCAGTCTGCCTATTCTCCTGTGCATGTGTCCCAGAGGTGTCCTTTGTGTTGTGTGTATTTTCCAGTTGAAGTTGAACTTTAATTGCTTTTGTCTTTTCAGTGGGTGAGATTGACTCCCAGGCTGACTGGCTGTGAGAATTGGCTATGCCCACAGTGTATGAGCTGCTGTGTGAGGGTTGACCATTCAGATGAGGCTTGGCCCCTATGGGTTTTTGTGCCTGTAGGGAAATTAAAAAAAAAAAATTCCCTGAAGTCAATTGAGAAAACCAGTAAGAAGACACTGTAGCTTGTCCACCACAAGCACACATAGCACATTTCCATTTCTATCACACACAACATGCACTTTGTTTTAAACATGGATCTGTTATTTAATTCTTTGTTTAAAATGGGTTACATTTAAAATTTTGGTACCAGCCAAGTGGCTCAGTTGGTTAATAGCTCGCTCAAAAGTGTGAGCTCTGAGCAACAGGGTCACCGGTTTGACTCTTGGCCCGAACTGAGCTGCCGCTGAGCTGCCAACAGGTGGCAGGATGGCTCAGCTAAAAAAATAAAATGAAATAAAAATGTTCTCTACACTATCTTTTTTTCAACACTGTATTCATTTTCTCCTTTTTAAAAAATTATTTTATATTTATTTTTATATAAGTGTAATATACAGATAAGTTTCTTTTTTATTTTATTTTTTATATTAGTTTCAGGTGTATCATTTCCTTCTTAAAAGAATCTAAGTCTTTTATGATAAATGAATGCCCTACATCAACTCAAAGAGTTCCTTCTTTGATGAGCACTTTACATTGTTAAAGCTTTACTAGAGAAAAGACATTTGGCACAGTGGAATATGGAAAAGTAAAGCTGGTTAGAGGAGTTACAAATAGCTTTTCTTTAAAGAGAGCAGGGTATTTGAATTCTAGTTTCAGTGTGGGGGTAAACTAATTTTATACACTTAGGAAAATCACTTGAACTCTTTGATTTCCAGTTCCCAAAGTCTTCATCTGTGAAATGAAGGGCCTCGATAACTTCTAAGGACACAGGTGGCATCAGCCTCTGTTGCTATGGGAGTGTGATCCTGATTTCTCGCTTGATGTTTTTATGTGTAAATTTAATCTCCTCTTGTCTCCCCCCGTTTTTATTTCTCTATCAAAAAGTATTCAATATTGTACACCAACTATATTTAAATTTAAAAGAAAATTATTTACCAACCTCTCTAAGAATGCTTTCAGATAAAATGTGATCCCACATCACACTGAGATTCCTTCCTGGCATTCTACCCAGAAGTTGGTCATGTTGAGCTACTGTCATCTTAATTGTTGATTTTCAGGAATACCAGGAAATACCCCAAAATAATTAATGAATGTTTTTAGAGCGCTAAATTCGTACCTAAAGAATGATGGCAGATTTGAGGTCCAGAATTGTAGGCCAACAATTAAGGAAAGAAAACACTAAAGAACCATTTTATCTAATAAGCAAATTTATTCTGGAAAAAAAAATCACTGAGCTGAATGAACATCCTTTCACCTTATTGTCATTCCTTGAGAGAAATAATATTCATTCAACATTAAACAACTATGTATTAAATGCCTACATTACGTAGGCCCAGTTCTAGACACTGAAGACACTGAGGTGAATACACCAAAGAGGTTCTGACTCTCATGGAGCTAACATGCGGGGGGCTCTGAAGATAGTATACAGTTTAATTGGCAGATAACCCATTATTTTAACATTTGTCTCTTCTTTGTGTCTTTATTTAAATTAAAAACTTAATGGTAATTTGTCAAACTTCACATTTAGATAGTCCACAATGACAAGTAGTATTACTCAAATAGTTTTATTTAATTTATCATAACTCAATGAAGTAAAAGGAAATTTTATAATATTAAAACCTGGAACAATAATATCCCCCTTTATTCATTTAAACACATTATTGAACCCTTACTATGTTTTAGGCTCTGTTTATAACATTTTGTATATACATCAGTGGATAAAATAAACTTAACAGTAAATCAGTAATCAAACAACTCAGTGCTCTGGAGTAATCACAAATCTAAAAGTCAATTGGAAAAGTCCTCTGAAAGAGAACATGGCTATGACTTAGAACTAAAATAGTGTACTTTATCTAGGAGAAAGCTACTGGGCTTTTATTCAGAGCCGAATTTATATGTAATTTTTAAAGGCCTTATTTATCTAGTTTTCAACCACAACAGATTAAAATCACAAAATAAAAGATGGACTAGTGAGTATAAAAAGCACATGCTTGGACAGTAATAAAATGCTGGTATTTAATTACAAAAAGGAATAAAAGTCAAACACATCTTCATACTGCAGAATACTAAATTGAGTGTTCAAAGTTATCCCAAAATTTATTTTAAAAAAGGTTAAATCCTGTTCCATAAAATCCATTTCAGAAACCATGGGTTTCTATATACCTTTTAGAAATGTTTTCATCAAAAATTATTTTAAAATAAAGTTTAGACCCTTTAAGAGGTAAGCTTCACTGATCCAGAAATTGTCTATTATAAGGCAGAGAAGTGGATAAAATGAGAGATCACCATGGCTGTTGAAGAGATTTCAAAAAACACTTGTTCTTCAACAGCTTTGAAATATCAATTTTTCTTCAAACTCTTGCTATGATACACAGCATCGAGATGATCGATAATTATCTGAAGTCAAACTGGAGTACAAAATCCATGATACTTGCATAGAAGTCACAGTGGCAATGGCAGCTGCTCTGAGGTTTCTTTCTAAGTTCAACTGCTCCAAAGAAATTGTGGAGTTTAAGTGTGACTATTCCAGATACATGCCAAGAGTTAAGGCTGTGATAGGGGCTGGCTACTCAGAAATAAGCATGGCTGTCTCCAGGATACTGAATTTACAGCTCACACCACAGGTAGGTTTTTTTTTATCTCCATATATTGGTTTTAATTATTCTTTATTATGAAAGGACCAGGGTACCCTGGGAAACTAGTTAGAGAGTTGGTTTTACTTTAACTTTCCTTCCTTTCAGTCAAAGAAAGGATGTGCCCTATTATGGATCAGATAATGGACAAAGCACTAATAGAGTAGTTACCCCTCAATCTGTCATTTCTAGTTTCTGACAGTTTTCAGCATGATTTGGATTAGACACAAACTTCTGTGGACCTCCACTGCCTTGTTTCCAAAAATAACATAAGTCAGGTACTATGAAGAAAATAGAAGGTAGGATGAATGGAGGGGAAATGGAGGTCAAGGAAGACTTCTCTAGGAGGTGATGATGTTTAGCTTAAAACTTGTATGAGAAGGGGCAGCCAAGAGAAGATTGGGGAGGTGGGGGGGGCAGTATCCAGGCTGAAAAAAGCAACAAGTGCAAAGTTGGAATGTCCAAAGAATAGCAAAAAGATCAATATGGCTAAATCAGTTGAGCAGAAAGGAGCATGGTAAGTGAGCATATATAGACAAAGGCCAGGTCATGTAGCATCTTATAAGCTGTGGTGTGACTCCCGTTTGTTCTGAGTATGATAAGAAACATTTGAGCAGAGACTGTGGAACTACATATCTCCCTGTGATGCAAGCCAATAACCAGGAAGTAAGCAAAACGATCTCTAAAAGACCAAAACAGATTTCAGAGAGCCCTGCACTAAGTTCTTGCATATTACTCAGAGTCAAGCAAGTCCCATTGGCTTTCATTTTGAGCTACTTACCTTCATATCATGTCACTCTATAAACTCAATAGGTCACTGCTTCCTAAGCTCAGGAAGATTAGAAGCCAAAAGTTAGAAAATAAAAAGGCTTATAGTCAGGTTATCAAGAAATGACCATCCGATAGAAATGATCAAATATAAAAAACATATAATAAATGTACATAAGAATTCAAAATATATAACTTTCTGGAGCTAAAGAAAATGAATGCTTATGCCCATGAAAGACTCAAGAGTTCCATGATGTTACAGCCTAGTGAAGCTGATAATGAAAAGTTTAAACCCAAAATGATAAAACAAAATAATTATTCCTCCAAATATCTGAGCTAAGGCACTATGTATAATGCTAGTTAGGTCAGAGGAAAGAAAAGTAGAGCCTTTTTCACAATGATTGTGTAGAGCAGAAATGTTCATTTCCATGACAGACATTACAAAAGTAAAGGGGACCCTGCATGGGTAACACTGATTTTACGGAAGTCCAGCTCTTCCAACAGAGGTGGGCATGGCAATGACCAATACTAGGAAAGGAGCTAAGGTTTAGTGAAGGTCCACCAAGTGCTAATATCCATTTAAATTTAAAAAAAAAAATTCACTGAGCAAGTGACACAGTGCAAGTGCAGCTGTTGAAAGTAATAATTCTTAGAATAAAATCACCAAAGCTGCAACTCATTCAAAGCTTTCACACATTGGACTTGTCTCCTCAAATGCTAATGCTTACTTGACTAGATCAACAATCAGAAAACTGTAGCCTGCAGACACAATGTGGCTCTCAAGCTCTTAAGCTGTTGAGCTAAGAATTATTTTTACAGTTTTTTAGTTTGTAACAACAAAAAAAAGATACATGACAGAGACAATATGTGACCAACAAAGCTTAAAATATTTTCTAGCTGGTCCTTTACAGAAAAAGTTTGCTGACCCCTGCACTAAATGATTATTTAGCTGGATGATTTATTTTATATAAAATAAAAATCACCAAAGTTGTAAATTGGACAAAGTTTTGAGCATACTAAGTGTCCCAAAATGCATTTTGCTTGTTTGACTGGCTATGTTTTTTCTATATTTATTGTCCATAAGTATTTAAAGAATATCCCCCATTGTCCCTGGCCTGAAATATAAGGTAGATATAGATGGATAAGGAAGTATAGATGGAGATATATGATAGACCCTGAACCCTCAAAAGGCTTGTCCTATACACACTATGAAATGATTGGAGAGTAATGACCCTAAACTGTCACCAGGTACCAAATATCATGATTTAAGCTATTTGTAAAGTAGGAGTTCATTGAAAAGGAAGGACGGGAAGGACAAGAGAATTTAGGAAAAGGTTATGAAACTCACCGAAATCAAAGAGAGGAACATATACTATGAACAGCTACCTGAAACCCTTCAACACCATAACTAAAAGATTCTGTCAATTTGCAGGTGAATTATGAATCAACTGCAGAAATCCCAAGTGACAAAATTTGCTTTCCTTCATTTTTATGGACTTTGCCTAGTGAATTCTATCAGATTAAAGTAATGGCCCACCTGATTCAGAAATCTGGATGGAATTGGATTGGCATCATAACCACAGATGATGACTATGGACAATTGTCTCTCAACACATTTGCCATTCACACCGTGGTAAGTAATGTGTGCATAGCCTTCAAAGAAGGCTCCCTCTCAGATAATACCATCGAAGTCAGGATCAATCAGACACTTGAGAAAATCATAGCAGAAGCCCATGTTAAAATCATTGTAGTATTTCTGAGGCAATTCCATGTTTTCAATCTCTTCAGCAAAGCCATTGAAAGGAATATAAATAAGGTCTGTATTGCTAGCGATAATTGGTCAACAGCCACCAAGATTACCACCATTCCTGATGTCAAAAGGATTGGCAAAGTTATAGGGTTTACCTTTACAAAAGGGAATTCGTCCTCTTTCCAGTCCTTTCTTCAAAATCTGGATATGTTTCCCAGTGATATAACAAACCTTTAAATGACTACGCCATGCTCTTGTCTGCATGTGCACATGTTGAGGACAATGAGTTGAGTCAATGCATTTCCAATCATTCTCAGGGGACTTTAGCCTACACGGCTAACAAGGATATGGAAAGGAACTTCTCCATGAGAAATGACTTCCTGTGGGATTACATTGAAACAGGATTTGTTCACAGTATTCAGCTTGCAGTGTTTGCCCCTGGCTATGCCCTTCGGGATTTGTGCCAAGTTCAAGACTGTCAGAACCCCAACGCCTTTCAACCATGGGACATACTAGCTCACATGTCCAAGAAAATTCCCCTACCATCATTTTCTCCTTTTCCTTCATTGCTTTAATTTGCAAAGAGTTGTATGAACTGCTCTTAATACTATTCTTTTTATAAGTAGACACCTTCAGTGTTTGAATAACCTGCATTTCTATCATTAGCTCTTTGTTCTTGAGGATAATAGAGCTGTTATTTTACTTTCACCTCCTAGTCTGACCCACCAAAGTTGTGTTCTTTTATTCTCCAAGAAGAGTCTGTTGATAGTGCCATTTTCCTTGAGTGTATGGATGTGTATCTGATCTTAGAGTTTCTAGTCTTCATAGAATTATCTCTTTTAATGCCCTTAACAAACACAAAAGCAGCATGTTTAATGATTCTTTCTATAATTACTAAATATTGTGGATGAGAAAGCTAAAGCTAGAAAATGCCAGAAATATGATTCTAGTCTGGGTCTTCTTACTCCATGCCCTTTACTTTTCATGGTGTCTCTGGTGGCTTATAATCCCAAAGCCTCTAGTTATGACTCTTGTTTAGGGCTGTCTCCCTAGGACTCCAGTCTTCTTCTAATGATTGTTGTTATGTCCATCATGACATTTCCTGTTATATCTATGTTTAAAAGGAATCAATGATTGTGCGTAAAAGAAGTCTTTCCCTTTCTCCTCTTGATAACTTTGTAGAAACTCAAAGCTTAATGTGGCCCTATTTAGTGAAAAATTTATGTTGTGTGTGTGTGTGTGTGTGTGTGTGTGTGTGTGTTTAATGCTGATGAACAAGGCATTTAAAAGCAAATTGCTGCTTTATATGATAAAGTTTACTCATCAGAAACAAATTCCTCGATAATGTGTATTCAAAGCCAAACTTATCTGTCTTGAGGCAAAATGATGTTCCAAAAATATATGTTTTAAATTTGTAAGAGAAAAAAAGGGGAAAGGGAGTAAGGCTCAATTCTTCTGATCTTACAAGTGGGTATATACAAGACAGGCTATTTCTACTTTTATAATTTTTACTTTAAACACCCACAAACACAAGCTTTAAGGTTGGAAGTGATCAGCTTACTTTTGGGTAGATAATGTGATGGTCATAGGGTGTTTTTATGCTCATTTTAAAACTAGTTTTCACTTTGTAAATGCAAAACACAAAACCTAATGAAGATGTAAAACTGGAGATTAGGATTTTTTAAATTAAAACTCTTTTAAAACATATATAGATATTTATATGTCTTGTGATTTTAAGGTGCCTGTTTGAAAGCATACTCTTTGTAGTATAAAACTTTTAATGAGGGGTTGGTAAAAAATATAAATTAAGTAGGCCACTATAGAAACCACAACATGGAATTTTAGGAATGAGAGATTGAGAAAAAGTATGGAGAGAAAATAGACCATCAGAGAGACAGACAGGATAAAGGGGAGGAGATATAATGAGCCTCATAAAGAAAGAGAACTACAAATAGCAAGATTTAGTTATCTTCTAAAGATCTGGGAAAGTATTTTACATCAGGAATACATTTTAAACATTCTGATGAAAAGACTCAAGAAAGTGTAATCTAAGCAGAGTCTGCTAAATGTTTTATTTAAACACTAGAAGCTTAGGGTCATTCTTTATGTCCCTGGGAGCCTGTTTATCTAGAAACAAACAGAAACAGATTGGAAAGGAGGAAGAGGGGAGTGACTTACTGCTTTGATCATGATGTGAGTGAGCTAGGTCTGTGCCACATTCAGTAGGACAAATAATGCAAACAATTTTATCTTTTTATGAAGGAATCTCTGTAGACATTAAATTTAAAATATCAGCAACATTTAGACTCAATAATCAAAGATACATTCCTAAATGTTATCTTGTCCTCTGGCGAAATTCACTAAAAATAGATTCTGAATGATTTGAGATTCAAAACGCTTTAAAGGAGTTGGTTTTTCCCAATATTTGAGGACAGTCCTTACTTTGACTTCACACTTGGTGATAACTATGAGCAGTATTCAGGGACAGTACAATCAGTAGTTTTGGTATTCTTTTTTCTTTTCATTTACCTCTGGTGATATTCTAAAAATATTATAGGAACTAAGATAGTTTTTTCCCTAAAGGAGTCATCTGTCTAGTGAGGTATATAATCAAACTATTAGGGGGCTGATTATAATGCAGAATGATGCATTACAGTATTTCATATAAATTTAAGATGGCAGAGAAGCACATAATTGAGGCAACTAATCCAGTATTGGTAATTCAGAGAAAATTCTCCAAAGATTCATGACATCTCTAGTGAATATGATGGATGGATGAGTAGAAGTTAGCCAGGGCAGAAATACTCCAGTGAAGTTTCAGAAGGGAGAGAAAACACAGCATCCTGAGGGAGCAGAAAATAGTTCTGTAGAGCTAGAGGGGAAACTAGAAGCAAATAAGACTAGAGGGTTTAATAAAGGATCCATCATTAGGGCCCTATCAATTAGAGCATCTCAAACTTTGATGTGCATTTGAGTTGCCTTGGAATCTTATTATCATGCAGATGCTAATTCAGTATGTTGTTTGGGGGGAGAGGGACAACATGAAAGTCTGTACTCCTACCAAGCTCTCAGGTGATGCTGATAATTGCTGGTAAAGGGACCATCCTTTAAATAAAATTTCTGCAAAAAATTCTGCAAAAAAATTCTGTTTAAAGATTTGGACTTGGTAGAGCAAAAAGGAGCCAATTAAAGATACATTTAGACAGGAAAGTGATGTATGTAATCTGCTTTCCGTTATAAAAATAGCATTCTCACTGCAGCATGCATTGACTAGAAGGACACAGGACTACAGGGAGAAAGACCAACCTGATAATCCAAGCATAAGATAAGAATACCTTGTACAACAGGTGTGACGATGAGGATGGAGAGACATATACATGGATAATTAAAAGGATAAAGAGCATTTGGAGACAGATTGGATGTAAAAGATAATAGATAGAAGCAAGGATGTTGCAAATGATACGAAAATTTGGGCAACTGGTGCCATGTTTTGAGATGGAAACGCAGAGAGAGTGGCAGTCTGGTGTGAAGAGAAAATATTAAGCATTCAATTTTGAAGATGTTGAATTTGAAGAACTTATGAGACATCCTAGTGTAGAGATGATGGTCAGGTATTTATCCAGAAGTCTAAAGAGATGTGTTCCAAGAAGAGAATGAGTTTGGAGTGTTAAGGAAAATACTAATTAAACATTTTTAAGGCCTACTGTACTAGGCACTGACATACATCATCTCTAATCTTTATAATATTATAGTATATCCACAGGACTCATATTCTTTATACTTCATCCTAAAGAAGTGACAAGAGGAAGTGTTGCTGGTGACTGAAACCTACAGCCATTTAGAGAGGGAAGGGACCTCAACAGGGGCCTGGCCCATGGTCACCCACTTAGTTAGCAGTAAAACTGTCCCAACTTTAGTCTAGTAGGCTTTTTGTAACACCACAGAAAACCTCACAAAAGAAAAAAACATAGGTTGGGTACCAGACAGAGATGCAAGGCTGCTTCCTCTGCTATTCCCTAATTTACTCACATAGATCCCTTTTTTTATGAGCACAGCTTACTTATGGAGACATAGTGGACATCAGAGCAGTTAGGGAAATGGAAAGCAACAGCCCACAACAGCTTAGCTGGTGTGGCCTCTTGGCCTTGTGTTCTCAAAAACAGGTCACTACCATATAGAAGTGAATGATCTAATAATGGAAATGCAAATCCTACTCTCTAAATTTTGTGGTGTGAATTTCAGAGTTTCAATGAAAACTAAATAAATAATTGATGGGAAAAGCATTTATTATAGTAGCTTAATGATTGGAGCATTAATGTTCAAAATTTACCCTAATGAAGAACAAATGTTCTGTTATATTTAACAAATAATGAATGCACTGTTTTATCTGTCTCCACCCTCTTTCTTGTAAGAACAAGCATAGAATTGTGCTAGTTTATTTCCATCATACAATGTTGTCATTATTTACAGAACATATATGTGTTATCAATTTACCCTGTAAGACCTAATTAAATGCAGGAAAAAAACAGGTGGATTTATAGTTCAAACACAAGAGTAGATGAGGATATGCTCTCTAAAGAACTGAGTTACTGGGGCTTATGTGTATGTATTGCTTAAGGGAAGAACAGAAGAAAAATCAATACATAGGTACAGGTGGTAATATTGACAGTAGGCCCTCACTTATTCTTTTGTTTTTGTTACCTCCATTTTTTTCTTCCAGACAATTGATAGAATGAGTTTTTTATTGTTGGGGGTTTTTTTTTGGCAAATTCCACAATGTTAGATATAATATCCTGCTTCTTTAGTGTAATACTACTTAATTTACAATCATTAAACTATGAAATCTGGGGCCGGCCGAGTGGCGCAATGGTTAAGAACTCGCTTGGGATGCCAGAGGGCCCCGGTTCGGATCCCACATATGAGGGCCAGTGACACTGCCCTCTACAGCTAAGATGCTGAACAACAGCTCAACCTGGAGCTGGGCTGCCGTGAGTCGCTGGCGACGGCGTAGGCTGCAGTCCCTGTGGCAGTGGGTTGCCATGGGCTACCGTGTGTAGCCAGCAGCCAGCATGAGCGGCCAGCAGCCGCAGTGAGTGGCCGTCCAGAAGCCGGCAACTGATGTGCCTCACCCGGGAAGAGCGCAATGATGGTGCCAACTTGGGCCAGTGAAGCAACATCCTCCACAACTAGACTGAAGAACAAAACGACAGCAACTTGTCTGTTCCCCTTCCCCAATCCCCCAGCACTGTTCCCATCCCCCCAATTCCCCAATAAAAAAAAAATCTTAAAAAAAAAAAAACTATGAAATCTGTATGGATTTATAATAAAATCAACACACTTAGAGATTTTACTAATGTGACATTTGGTCATTGACATGACTATGGTAGCTAATACATTTACCTTAAAATATACCTTGATTTTCTTATATTCTCTTGACAAAAAAACAAGAATAATAATAAATGAAAGAAATATTCATCAAAGATTAACTGAGAGGGAATAGAATAAGAATAATTCTATTCAAATAAAATAATTTTTGTCTCATTCCATAGATTTTGCACCTAACAAAAGCCATATGGCATCACAGATCTAGATAATGAGTGAGAGAGTGTTTACTTAGCCATGACTATGTACCAAGTTAGTGGTGGAGCCAGAATTGCAATCTGTTTTCCTCCATCCAAGTCTTGCCCTGCACAACAAGCTCAACATGGATACCTCATTTGTGAGCAAAATATTTCCTGTCCTAGATATAATGCACACAAGTTCTCACTGCATAAATTGGGTAACAAGACAAGTAATTTCCATTGTATTTCTAGTTTAAAAAAATCATTTTATTTATTTAATTAGAAACAGAATTTAAAAGTCATTTAAATATGCACTCAGTCACTGAAGCAGATTTGAAAACTGTTGGAGATAATAAGATTCTCACCTTCCACTAAATGAGTAACAAAGTATGGACTTAGGGGGAGGGCACTAGCAGTTCCCTTACTTACACCCACTAATGAAATTTCTCTGGTGGGGATGTTCCTCAACACACATCCAGGAACAGAGTACTATTGTTACTGGACTGTCTCCCAGGTTTGTAGCTCTGTCCCCTCAGCCTTCATTTTGGAGATAGTGAACACTGGCTTGGAATGCCCACTCACACTGGGCCAAGGATCAGTGCTGACTGACACTAGAAGGAAAGGATGAACTGTCCTGCCTTCCATAGTTCCAGACAGCACATTGGTGTTTACTTTTGGGTGAGAAGGAGAGAACAGCGAAGGGATTTTTGAATTATTATATTGTTTGATGTAATAGAAAAAACCCATATTGAAAGTTAAGATATATGTCCTGAGATAAGTCCCTTCACTGAGTTGTTATGGAGCAAAAGGATATCACAGATTTGAGTGTTAGCAAGTAATATATGAATGTCAGTTCACGTTATTAGTTGATAGACTCAAAATATTTTTATTTGCACATTGTGCCTATTAGCTAATAACAGGTATTAACAGGCATTATGAACCCTTAATCTGTGCCAGTTACGAGACTAAACTGTTTATTCCCTAATTACATTTGATCCTTCCCATAACTCTATAAAGTAGGTTTCATTTACCTCATTTTACAGATGGGGCAGCTGAGGCCTAGAAAGAAGTTGTAACTGTCAAGATCACACCATTAAAGAGATATGCAACCAGAATTCGAGCCCAGGGCCCCAGATAACCCATTCTGAAATCCTGCAATGTAGAAAAAAGGAAGATGCTCAGATTTCAACTTTATGAGCTAGAGAAGCTACCCTCCAAAAATATTAACTTGCTTTCTCAATTTCACAGAGCAAGACTTTAGCAGAATTGAGGCTAGAATTCTCAAACTGTTGCCAGATAGTTAAGAAATTTAACTACATACCATGCTCAGTGATCCAGATGGCCTTTTTAAATTTTAAGTGGTATTTCTTGGAAGGCAGTGTTGTAATTGAGAAAATGAATATACTTATAGTATTTTTATCAGTGTTTATTTCTATTATTTTTTTTTATAGTTACTTGATGTACTGAAAATGTGACATTCACTGATGGAGGGAACTCATTTCATTTTGAAGCCCATGGTGATATGAATACTGGATATGATATTGTGCCCTGGAAGGAAATCAGTGGCCACATGAATATCACCAAGATGGCACAATATGATCTTCTTCATCACAGACCAGGAAACAAAAAATGAGTTCAGGAATCTTAAGGTAATTGTGTTGTAGGCTACTTTGTAACATTCAAATCAATTGGTACCTCAACTGCAAAAGTCCTTGACCCCATCAGAACTTCCAGTGATCCTACTATCTGTTCACTGTCCCCAACTTGCTACCTTAAATTCCACGGTCAACTTGTGTTTCACTCCCTTGTACACACCCACAAATCCCTGCGCCCCCACCCCCCGACATACTCATTCATCCAAAGCAAAATTCCAATTAAATTAAACTCTCTGCCTAATCAATGTAGCCCCAGGTAGCTGAACTTGACCAAAAAAAAAAAAGAAGAAAGAAAGAAAAAGAAAAAAACAAACACACCTTGCTGACTGCCCTCACATTAAATTCATGACCTTTAACCTTCAGTGCGCCCTAATGCTGCTGGGCAATCAGACTATTACCCTAGTCCATTAACTTGCCCACTTACCTAGATGGTTATTTTACGCTTTCTTTTCTCTGACTCCAACACATTTTTCCCATTTTCACTTTCAGTTGACCCTGCTTCCTATTTCACTAACAAAACTGAAACAATCAGAAGAAAATGCTAGTGTTCCCCTGCCCCATACCTGTGCCTGTGTCCTTAACTTCCACCTGGCCCTGTGGATGGACTGTGTGTGCTCCTAGCCAAGGGCAGCTCCTCTATTTGACCTCTAGATCCCAACCCCTTCCACTTACTCAAGGATTTTGCTCTGGTAATTCTCCACTCTTTCCTTTATCCTCAAATATTTTCTCTTCTGTGTTATCTACACAATGATATAAATATGCTGTTATTTCTCCCATCTTAAAAAAAAAGAAAGAAAAGAAAGAAAGAAACTCCATTAATCCCCCTTCATTCCTCTATTTCTCTTTACAGCAAAACTCCTTGAAAAAGTTAAACATATTCCCTGGCCCAAATTTCTCTCCTTCTATAATTTTTTTGAACTCTTTTCAATCTATCAAAATGATTTCCGTCTAGTTCACCAATGTTAATAAACCCAAACGTCATCTTACTTTACTTACCGGTTAATTAGTCTCCCCGCCGTGAAATGCTATCTTCATTTGCTTCCATGACTCCACACTCTTGATTTTCTTTCTTTGTCTCTGGCCACTGCTCCTCAGTCTCCTTTGCTGAGTCCTCCTCATTCCACTGCCTATAAATATTAGTGAGCCAAGTTCAGAACAGCTCCTTTTTTTTTTTTTTTTTTGTCCACACTTTTCCTTAGTGACTTTATCCAGGCTTTTGGATTTAAATAATGCTGTTACCTAGAAGCCACATGTTTCCAAGATTTTTCTCTTCTGAATTTCAACCCAAATAAATATACACCTGTCTAATTGACATCTTTACCTGGGTGTCCAATAGTCATTTAAACTAATTGTCTCCAACTGAGCTCCCAAACTTATTCCCATTTCAATAAAGGGCAACTCCCTTCCCCTAGTTGCTCGTGGAAAAACCTGGTGGGATCCTTGTCGATTCTCCTGTCATGCTTCATATCTAATCTAAGTTTTACTTTCAAAATGGGTCCAGGGTCTGACAACTTTTCGTCCTCTACTCTGTTGCTGCCCCCGCTCCCCACTACAATCACCTCTCAGCCAGAATAAGACGGTAGGTAGGTAGGTTTTTAACCACTCTCTGCTTCCACTCTTACAGCCCCCTTCAGTCTGTTCTTGAAACAGTAGCCAGAGTAATCCTGTAAAATGTTAATACTCTGCTCAGAACTCTCCCTAAACATTTTATCTCTCTCAGAGTAAAGGTCAATGTCTAAAAAACCTTACACAACCTCCCACCAGTACCTCCTGACCTCATCACCTACTACGTCCCCCTTACCCTCACCCTTTTTTACTACCCCACAGGCTTTCTTGATCTTTCACACATGCCTTCCTGCCTCGTAGCTCAAGGCGTTTCACCTGCTGTTTCCTTTACCTGTAATAATCTTCTCTGATGTCCACATGGTTCACTTTCTTACTTCCTGCCTGTCTTTCCTAAAACATCACCATCTCAGGGGGGCCATCCCGTCACCATATTTAAAATTGCAATGTCAACCTAATACTTCTTATACACTCTTCCTACCTTTATTTTTCTCTTAACACTTATCACTATCTAGCATTCTGTACATTTTGCTTATTTTTACCTTGTTTATTTAACCTTGTCAACTAGAAATAAAGGTCTATAAAAACATGGATTTTTGTCTTTCATTACCTGCTGTGACTCCAACAATTACAACAGTGCCTGGCATATAATAGGCACTCAAAAAATATGTGTTGGATGAAAGAATGAAAATAGTAATGCTTTGGGCCGGCTGAGTGGCACGTTGGTTAAGAGCTGACTTGGGATGCCAGCTCTGAGCAGCAGGGCCCCGGTTCGGATCCCACATGAGGGCCAGTGACACTGCCCTCTACAGCTAAGATGGTGAACAACAGCTCAACCTGGAGCTGGGCTGCCGTGAGTCGCCGGCGACAGCGTAGGCTGCAGCCCCTGCTGCAGTGGGTTGCCATGGGCTACCGTGTGTAGCCAGCAGCCAGCGTGAGCGGCCAGCAGCCAGCGTGAGCGGCCGTCCAGAAGCCGGCGACTGATCTGCCTCGCCCGGGAAGAGCGCAATGATGGTGCCAACTTGGGCCAGTGAAGCAAAGTCCTCCACAACTAGACTGAAGAACAAAAGGACAGCAACTTGTCTGTTCCCCTTCCCCCAATTCCCCAGTGCTGTTCCCATCCCCCAATTCCCCAATAAAATCTTTAATAAGCATGCACCAATGTGACAATTACCTATATCTCTTCTCTAGTCAGTACTATTATGGAGAAGGGTTCTATTTGCAGCATTGTGAACAATTACCTGGTTTAAATGTTTGCAGTGTAACCTAATCTCTTCTTTTAGTTATGGATCTGCTTTTTATGCAACAATGAAAGACACTGGGCCCCTGTAAGGAGCACAGTGTGCTTTGAAAAGGGAGTGGAGTATCTCAACTGGAAGGATGCATGGGCTATCCTGCTCCTGGCCTTCTCCCTACTGGGGATCCTGTTTGTTCTGACCATTGGCATAATATTTACAAGAAACATGAACACACCCATTGTGAAATCATCTGGGGGATTAACATTCTGCTCCATGACCCTCCTCTGTCATTTCTTGAACTTTGCCAGCACAGGTTTCTTCATTGGAGAAACAAAGACTTCACACATAAAACCCAGAAGATGCTATTTGGCATCAGCTTCACTCTCTGTATCTCCTGCATTTTGACGAAGTCCCTGAAGATTCTGCTAGCCTTTTGTTTCGATCCCAAGTTGCAGAACGTCCTGAAGTCCCTCTATAAACCAATCCGCATCATCTTCACTTGCACAGGTATCCAGGGTGTCATGTGCACACTTTGTCTAACCTTTGCAGCCCCTGCTATGGAAAAGAACGTCTTCTTGCCCAGGGTCATTTTTCTGCCATGTAAGGAGGGCTCCATCCTTGCCTTTGCTGGGCTATATTGCCATCCTGGCCTTCATTTGCTTCATATTTGCCTTCAAAGGCAGGAAATTACCTGAGAATTACAATGAAGCCAAATTCATAACATTTGGCATGCTCATTTACTTCATAGCTTGGATCACATTCATCCCCATCGATGCTACCACATTTGGCAAATATTTGTCAGCTGTGGAGATTATCGTTATTTTAACATGTAACTATGGGATCCTATGTTGCACATTCTTCCCCAAATGCTGTCATTCGTTGCAAGCAAGAGACTAACACAAAATCTGCCTTTCTCAAGACGATTTACAGTTGCTCTTCTTGCAGTGCAGACAGGCTTCCCACAAATCACGTTTCACTGGACTCCACTAACAGCAATATCACAATGGCCAATCCCAGCTCTGGTGGCAAGTCTGCAGCCTGGCAGAAAAGCAAAGATCTCCAACCATTTTCACACATATGCAAAGAAAATGCTACAAATCTGTCTAAAACCTGGCCTCGAAAAAGAATTTCAAGTATATGAATGAGTCCTTAAGAAATGACACATTCCAGAATAAAATGTTTCTAGGGTCTTTGCATTTAAGATGTGCATTTACTTTCCGAACAAATATATTCTATATGTTTCTTCACTACCACTATTTTCACCATATTTTGGTTGAACACTCCCTCTGTCCAACCACCTCTTTAACAAAGAAAATAGATTCGTCAACCTAAAACTCCTTTTATTCCTTACCACCTCCATCTGCCTCCATCTTTATTTCCTTCCTCTTAGGCACATAGTTAAAGGTATCGCTTCTATTCAAAATTATCAGCCATTTTTATTCCACCCTCTACCACTCTTCTCAAACCTCGTTGTATGGGTCGTCTTCTTCTCTCTTGAGCATCTTACCCTCCCACCTTACTGCTCTGTTCAATTGAACAAGCATTGGAGCAGTTACCATGTGCCAGGTGATACACTAAATACGAAGGAACAAGAAGATCAAGGCATCATTTCTGACCCCCAAAGAGCTCAAAGTTCAGGTGGAGACTCACATATAGACATCTTCACTTCAGTGTGGGGATTCTATGAATGTAATATGCATAAGGCACTTGAACAGTATATGAAGTGGTCCTTAGCTACCCTGGGGGATGATGGAAGGGTTTCAAAGAAGGCTAGATAAAGGATGTGATGTTTAGGTGAAGTCCCAAAAGACAAGTGAGAGTTAAAATTAATCAAAGAAATGATAGAAAGCTGTTACAGATAGAGGGGGAAAGCAGGAACAGCAGCAGAAAGTATGCTGAGAAATATGTTCAGGGAAGCGCAGTCATTTTGGTATTACTAGGGAGGAGTCTTGTGTATGTAGAGGTTAGGTAATGAATGAATGAATGAATGAATGAATGAATGCCAAGGACTGGAGTTCTTTCACAAATAGCTTAGGTCTTTATCGTGTGGGTGGACATCGAAGTATCTGGCAGAAAGATGACAGGTTTAAAATCCACGTCACTCTCTAACCAACCAATCTGCTTGTCCCTCTAACACTTCAAAGTTAGTATGCCTAAAATTTAATTAAGCATTTTCTTCTATCTCCTCCTTGTCCTGTTTTCCATATCTCAGCCTGTTGTACCACCTTTGGACTAGCCAGAGCCCTGGAATTCATCCTTTCCATCCTTGATGCCACTATTTGCTTTACCCTTCTGTATCTTTAATTCATCATCTGTCTTTAATTTTCTAAGTCCTGCATTTTCTCAAAACCTCACCATGATCTCTACCCCTGTCACTGCTTCCTTAATCTAGGCCTGTATCACCTCTTTCATAGATTGTTGCAATAGCCTTCTCACTTCACTGGTCTCACAATGGTTCATTCTAAACATCAAGAAGGTCTCAACAAACCTTCCACTCTTTTCCACTAGACATATTTCTACAGCTAAAACCTCTTTATGTTACTCATTTGTTCTAAGACCTGCAATAAGTCAAAACTTCTTATCCTGATGCCCAGATTCTGCAAGACCAACACCAACATCTACTCCTTCCTGCGTGGTGCATCACCCTTGAGAAACAGCCAAGTGCTGCTGATTACCTGTGCCCATGCCTCCAAGCCTGCCTCTTCTCTCTGCTTTGATGTCCTCTCCACCCCTCGTTCTCCTGGAGCACTCTAGCTAATGCACCAGACACAATTCAAGCATCTCCCCTTCTACCAAGCCTTCCTTTCTACCTCTGTCATATCACCTATTACACTTTATTGCATTTATTTGTTTTCATTTCTTTTGTTCAACTCATTTTTATCAAGGGTCTACTATGTGCCAGGCATAATTCCATACATAGGGAATATAAAAATGATAAAAGGAAGACAAATTCTCTCCTCTCAAGGAGTTTACATTCTAGGATTTTTACCATTGTGCAGTGAATGGTCAATTCTTTAGTAGCAGCTCTCACAACTGCTCTTTTCTCTCTACTACCACTACCTCATCACCACAGTTTAGGTTCTTATGACTTCACACCTCTGTTGTTGAAAGGTTCCAAATGAGTTACTTCCCCAGGATTCCTCTTCTAATACAAACAGTATGTTATCACAGATCAGTGTTTCTCAAGTTAGCTCCAATACTATCATTCTCCTATTCAGAAAAATTTAATAACCTCCTATTACCTTCAGAATTATGTTAAATTCTCCTACCTTGCTAGCAAGACATTCCACAGTCTTACATTAACATGGACTGAATGTTAAAAAACAAAACAAGATATTAATCTTAGCTTACTGCTTAACCTAAATGTATTCACATACAAGATGGTGATAATCTCTCATAAAATTGTTAAGGGTATAAGATTTTCTGATGTACATGAACATGTTAGGAAATGAGTATTCTGTTTGTGATTTCACTGACTCATTGCTCTATTGATATGAGAACAAAGCTAAGAGAGATTCCAGATTCTTGAATGTGATCGCGTAAAACAGAAAAACTGTTGTGCCAATAGAATAATAAAAGAAATATTGTTTCATAAGAGTTGTGAATTTTACTACAACTACATAGCTTTCAACAATTAATCCAGAAGAAAAAAATGGTATTCAACATAAGAAATTAAGTTCCAAATTCCTTGAAGCCAAAACTACATCTGTGCCATCATGTAAAACAACTAAGAGAATGACTATTGTACTTTTCATTTTTCTGTTAACTTTTGAGGCTCTTAAAATCAATTGGGTGCAAATTAAATTATTTTCTCACTCTTTTCGGAATAAAAGTTTTCCTCTTTTTTATTATAAAGGCAATATCTAAATATTATTTTTAAAATAAACAATTAAAACTAAGCAAAAAGAACACACAAAAAAGAACCTATAACTCTATAACCAACAAACAATCTTCCATTGTGTAAGTAGTCAGCTCTTTACAGGTTAACTTAATCAAGTCCAAATCATTATTCAGACAGAAACTTTCCCATTGCTCAAAGTGAACTGACCTAGGGAGGCCGGGGAAAGCATTTAGAGTTCTATGACAGACTGACTTATAGAGTTATCCCCTTACTCTGCGCACAGAAACACACATACTAAAATATTTTATTGTTAAAATGCAAGGGTTGGGAATAATCCTCATTGTACCACAGCCTTTATTGACAGAATAAAATCAGAAGCCAGTAAGCCCAGGCTGTAAGGATCTCAAGAGCAAGGTACAAGTATCATTGTTATCTGTGCACTCTGGGTTTTGTATAAGGCCACCCCCCCAAACTGGTATTCAATAAATGTTGAATGAGTAATTCTAATGTTCTCACAAATATTCTTGATATCTTGGTCAGTACAGCAATTCAGTCATATTTTTTACAACCTTCCTTTCTGATAATTGAGTCTCCACATCTTTAAAACAAACCAGATAGGGCTTACTGCCATTGTTGGCAAAATAAGACTTCCAGAAAGTTAGAGTAGAAAACAGTTAATTGCATAATCCTCAAAACTACAGTTAAAAACGATGAAGAATAAGCAGGTGAACAATTAAACATGGAAGTTATTGTGATATTAAAAGGAAAAAAGTGTGCCTTCTCCATTCTTCTTATCCCCTTCTTGTTAGCTGCTATGCAGAATAGAGCAGCCATCTTGTACCGTGAGATAGAATCTGCAAACTGAAGATGACAGAGAAACAAGACTGAAGAAACGTTGTTCTCCAACACCCTGAAGCTTCTTTTTTGGCCCTGGATTGTTTATGTTTGCACAATATGTAAGAAAAGCAAACAGTCTGATAAGTTTTGTGTGGGCTGCCTGTCTTCCAAGCACAAAAACAATGTAAAGAGTTGGAAGATTGAACATAGCAAGTAGATGCATTCACATCCAAGAGCTCCTTGTAGGAAAATCTCAGGTGATTGAAATGTCATATATTTCACAAGTTCTTCTATTACTTAATTTTTCTGGTATCTGGCATTACACTTCCAGCCAAAATCAGATTGTCAGAAAATGAAATTTTGAGGATACTGGACCTAAAAAAAAATTAATCAAATATCTTCTCATTTTTACAAATAGCCATTTTTCACATTCATAAATATGTGAACTTTATCTGTTTCTTGTTTGTTAGACATAGAAGGCATGACTAGAAAATGTATAAACTGGAAGTGTGAAGTCCAGTATGTAATTAATCAGTGGGTCTGTGTTAGAGTATTTCCCATCTAAAGAGCTATCCATTGTAAATAATCTGATAAACAAAAAACCTGGGAGCCAAATTCTGGTAGTTACCAGTGCAAAACTAATGGAATCCAGCATATTAGAAAAACTGCTATGTCCTTACGTGAGACTGAATAGAAGTGAGAACAACTAGTAAGTAAAAGACCCCAATATTGGTAAAAAACATAGGGAAAGTGTTGATGGGTACAATTTATTTATTATATTTGCAACCACCTATTTAAAAAAAACCCTGAAGTGGATTTTATATTAATATATATATATATATATATATATATATATATATATATATATAATAAAATTCTCAAAATAAATATTTAAAAAATAAAATTAATGGCAGAACAAGGCAGATAAGTGAAATAGAGGCTAGGAATAGTGGTTGCTCTTACACTAAATTTAATTCTGGGCATCATGGCAGACAAGAGAAGTGGACACCATAGCCCTCAACAGGCATAACCTGCAATAATGCTGGGAACTTCATAGTATAGGAGCCATTTTCTGGTCTCAGCTCCTTATGCATTTGCTATGTAACCTTACAAGTCCCCATCCCTCCTCACAATTCTTTGAGGAACTGTCCATTTTATGTGCCACTGGAAGGATTGCCAGTCCAGGATGGCAGAAAGGTTTCTCAGACTGAGCCAGAGAGTCCATCTGGGTCCTATCTGTTTTGGGAGGGAGACAGAAAGAGTCTCCCTGACTTTGGCTTGTGAATGACAGGGCTTCCAACCATTACCTTTCCTGTCACATGAAGGAAACCTGTTTGATACAGGAGAAAATGAGGTTAAAATCAAAGGAAAGCAGAGCCATGTGATGAAGAGGAGAAAGAGAGGGAGAGGAAAAGGGGGAGCGGGAGGGAAGGAAAGGGAGAGGAGAGAAAGGAAGAGAATAA